GCTTTTCTAAACAATTTAGGTTGAAATCACCCATGATCGTGATTTGAGTCGCTTGCGCTTTGGTCTGCATCTTAACGCTGTCGCGTTGGCAGTCCATTTCCGGTGTAGAGTTTTGGGGCGGTTTGCCGAAGCTATAATGCAGGTGTCCTGCCATGTAATCACAGGCGACACCAAAGAGAATCGGCGAACTCTGAGTCTGAATCCTCAGCGGCCTCACACATAAAGTCGCTTCGGTAACACAGAATCAACCCTCCACCTTTCGTAAGCCTGTCGTTTCCTAAGAGTGACATGCCCGACAGCGAGACTTCACCGTCTGTCATCACAGTGTGTAACCATGTCTCCGTGATCCCGATAATATCGTATGGCTTCGAAATTTGGCGATCCTTTAGTTCGTCCAGATTATTGGAAAGGCCTTGAGCATTTGTATAAAGGCAAGATAGTTTCTCGGTTTCCAGGATCCCGCAGGGAGCCAAAAGCGATAAGTATAGAAGAATGCCTACTGATGTTAGAACGGCCGTTATTAGCTTTTTTGATGGGATGATGCTGACACATCGTTCGCTAACTGCTTTTGCCAAGGTACCTCCGATTCCTTGTCCGGACGTGCTGCAGAATCGCGTGACAGAGTGATAAAGTGATGCTCACGCATAATCGCTGGTAAGATTGCATTTTCAGGTAGGCTCATATTTGGTTTTCGCATAGATTTTGCAACTTTTAGCCGAAGTTAGGCTAGAAGGCTTTTACGATGTCTTCGCCAACGATCTAATTGTTCCGTTGCTGTTTGCGCACACTGAATCAGGAGGTGTAAGATTATTCCGTAAGATTGTTCCCTTTCCTTTATACTTTGATGAGAGAGCTAACCTCTTGAGCGATTGTGTGACAACGAATGAAACGCCACTGTCCCAAGTCGTGATTATCGACCTCGTGATTACCGTGTGGAGCAAGTTCTGGCACGTTATAATTAAACATGGTGTTTATAGTATCCAGCTTGTTATATCCTTCCGTGATGTTTCTGTTCGACCGTCGCGTGCTCTAAGGGACCTCAGGAAAGCTGCGTATTTTATACGGCCCCTGGTGTAACGCACTTGCAGAGAGCAAAACGTTTTCTACATCAATCGCCGATTCCATTGTTACCCAACTAATTCTGGATTTGCCATAGTGTGCAGAGTTCGGGTGGCGAGTAACACTCATTAGGTTTGTGGGTTTGGCTTCTACGTTCATTAAAATGCACAATGAATTCCACTGGTCTTGGTCCTCAGAGAACTTACTTCGCGATGGGATGACGGTAGATTCGGGGACATTGGTGCACACGACATTCAGGGAGTCATTATTGGAGCCCTTTTGTTGAACTACAAGGTCGGGTGATCGATGGTTCTGGCTTTATGCTAAGTGATGACGGTCCACTGTTTGTCGCTCTATTGGCCTTAACGGTGTTTAAAACAAAGGAGACACTAAAGGCAGCATTCCGAGAGACGTTTGCAGCGCTCGTTACATATGTGACTGGATTCTCGAGCGATTTGAATACGAGCAATGCTCCTGGGATTGTAATTGCATTAGCCTCGTGTTCGGCTGTGCCATCCTTGTAAATGATACAAGTTTTCAAGACCGGCTGAATTTGATTGAGCACGAATTTCGAGTGGTGCCTGCTTTTCAGGATCCTGAGTACCGCTTGTCCATCACAGCTACGGTCGATTTTTGCCTGACCTTCTTACAAAATTGAAGCAGATAACGGCAAAGGGTACGTTGTAAATCGTTGTTCGCGCGAAACAAATTTAGCGCCAATAGTTTACTTTGAAGCCACTGTGTTCACATTGTGCATATTCGCTTCTAATGATAGAATCTTAGCGTTCGTTCGTTGTTCAATTTCTTCTGTTAACCGCTCGCACTTTTGGACTAGGAGAAGTATACATTTGATTAGTGGGATGGCCGAACACGCAGTACAAAACAAGGTCTCATCTTGGGAGCTGTTTTGAGCTCTGATGTGTTGTTGGAAAAGATTTGCACATTTTAAATGGTACCATCTAAATCATTGTGAATAAGGTAAACCGAACTTCACTAATCGGTTACATACAGCGGACCCACATATAACCTTTGATTGGAGCCCTTTTGGATTCACATCTACTTGCTTTCTGCTATTTGGCATAGTATTGCTACCTTGCACATTAAGCTAGATACCGTTGCGTACTTTCCCGACTAGCTGGTTGCACACCGTAGTCAGACAGGTGGATGCGACTACTGCGTGTCTTGGTGGCACACTGCCCTGTGGAGTGAGAAAGAACGCGATAAAACCAACCTGCTCGGAATTGAAACGGACGCAGGCTGGTTTCAGTCCATACGCCGGTCCAAATGCCGCACCGTCAGGTGACTACCGGTGTTAGTTTTGACCGTGTTTACTGGTCTGAGCCCTGTTCACAACTGGGTGCAGTTGACACAACTGCAGGTTAGATGGATCGCCGTCAACCGATAATATTTGTCGGCCGAAATGGACTGCTAACTGAGAACTCTCCAACACCGCTAAGATGATTTGGGTAATAAGATGATGGAATAATTTCTACTGTTGACGATCCACTGGATAGAGCTGGTGATTCCATGTCGTTGGGCGATGTGTGATGCAATACGTAGGGAAAGCTCTATTATAAGGCGGATCACAGTATGATTGAAAAAGAGTTGCACAGTTTTCACAGAAACGGATAGCTCTCCTTCCAAATATTTTCGGTGACAGAAAGAGCACACAAGAAGGAATTGAGTGGTAGAAGATAATCCAAAGGCCGTTAAAATTGTACGTAGAAATGTACAAATGGTACAACTTGTTGGAGCTTCGATTTCGTGTTCATAATGGTTGTGTGACCATAGCACTATTTCCTCCAATGGAGTAACATACTGGCAAGAACGCTATCCAAAGCTTTCTCAACCTTCTATCAGACCTATATCATGTGGTGTTCATCGCATCCAGCTGAAACAGGATGCTAAACTTGTTTCCATTAGTCAACCTCGACCGATTCCATTTGCGAAGCATCAAGCTGTATCAGTAGCCTTGCAGGACGTCAGCGAACGATCTAATCGAGCCAATCGATTGCTCAAAGTGCGTGCACCTAATGGTGAGTGTTTTGAAAAAAGAGGGCACTGTGAGGATATGTACAGATCTAAAATGTCTAAACAGACAGCTAGTCGTCGAGAGCTATATTCTGCCTTCTTGTGAGGAGCTAACAATTCGCTTTTCCGGCGCAACATTTTTCAAAAAACTGGATTTAAGTAGTGCGTCATCCATATGCCTTTATCTGATGACTCCAAACGTTCTCTGCCTGTCGAGGCTACCGTGCAACCGATACCATGTCCGTTAAGCTTGTGGGCCGAAATTGCAATTGAGGTTATGGGCCCTTCGCCATTGCTCCGGTGAAAGAGCAAAATATGCTTGTTGCAACCTGCTTCTACAGCAGATGGCCTGTGACACATATATGTAACCAAGTGGACTCTTCCATAGTGCTACGATGGCTCAAACTTCTGCTCAGTCGCTTCGGATTAGCAGAGGAAGTGGTTACAGAAAATTGTCTCCTATACTGTAGTTACGAATTCGAAACCATCCTCCAACGACATAACGTAAAACACTCCCGGACTGCCCGTTGCAATCCTGAAGCTAATGGCTTGGTGGAGCGTCTTAACCGGTCTCTCAAGGATGCGATACAGGACGTCCACCTAAGAGGGGTAGAGGGGGAAGAGGCTGTCTTAACGGTACTGCTAGCATGCAGAAGGTGTGAACGCACAGCCAAAGGGAAAACGCCTGCTGAACGTATGCTAGGAGAACCACTACGCACCAAACTTGCTGCTGCACATAGCGTGTCCATTATTGTAAATCCCGAGGCGCCAAACCACATGGCAACACACCAACAACCCTACACTAAAAGCTCAATTCCACTGCAGCCGGGATCATTTGTTCCGATCAAAAATAGAAGCACGGTAATGGGTCACCCACCTCAGTCTGCACCGCTGAGAAGCGCGGATGTATGTGGGCCTGCCAGATACCGATCGGAAGATGGCTTGATAGTCAACGCCCGTCGGCTTTACACGGCAACTGGATCGGCCTCGCAGTCTAACCAACATACGTGTGAAACTCAACCACGGCCGGCTCCACCGTCCCGTGAACTACACAGGTGCTGCCGCATACCGAAACCGGTTGATCGATATCAACCCGAAGGAAGCAACTTTTTCGACTGGGAGGGTGGTGTTAGTATCCTGTACCCTAGGCTTATCCTGATTGGCTGAACTACAATCAGTGCTGATTGATGGATTAGCGGACATCTTTGTGAGTGCCAAGTCGTTCTGGGCAGTTGTACGTTCTACGCGCCTCCTCAATATACTTTTGTTACACCTACGTTCTTCTGATACAAAACCTCGCACCTACTCAAATTCAAGCTGGTTAGGATATACAAAACAGATGCCACCTCACTTCGGCCTCCTACTTACCAGATTCCTTCGGTCGCTGACCGAAGGTAGACATTCTGTGCTCACCACAACAGTCAGCGTCGTCACCTGTTAGCGCACACACACCGGTCCGTAACAGTCGTACATGTCCCGAGACTGATTTGCTCAGTACATGACTCCATGCGGCACTCATTCGGTCAACTCATATTTATGTGGAATTTTGCCAAATGATATAAATTGGGCGTAGGTTCTCGAGTCGTCGATGTCGACAATGAGCGTTTGCAAGTTAAATCAGTGAATGATTATTGAATCCTTTGTGTTTGCGAATAAACGAGAATCCCAGAACACCTCATTTTCTTCCTTCCCATGCTTCACTGGTGTGTCGCTGTGCGTTACTGCAGACTGTGCAAAAATTCTTGGCGGGACGAAACATCAGATTCGCCTCATAAATAAACCGGTGGTCTGTGCTTCGGTTATTATATGAGAAATACATGGTCATATAGAGATATGCATACAAGCTTTTGAAAATTCCCGACGTCAAATCTCGTATGCAGACAATACAAAACAGAAAGAGGTATTCACCATTATGCTAGAATTCTCCGATTGCTACTCACTTGATCACCCTGGTTGAGTACTTGAAAAGCTTGCAAATATTCATTTAAAGCATCCTCACGAAGTTTGTCCCAGTCGAGAGCTCGCAGCCTTTTGAGATGCATCAGAACCAGCCCACCATTTACTCCATTCGGCTGCATAAAATGTAAAAATTTAATACTGTTTGAAGCAATGAAAGCGAAAGAAATCTGCCTGTCGACTTGTGGTAATGATAGTATGACCACATAAACATACATACCCCTAACCATAATTAGCAATAACATTTCTAGCAAGTAGGCAGGATTAGAGTATAGATTGGTCAATTCATTACAAAAAGTCAGAACAGTGAGCCCCGGTGATTGAAACATGGCTGAGATTGTGCAATCAACTGCCATCCGAAATACGTGGAATGTCAGTGGACACGAATCGAGGAGATGACGCTGAACAAGCAGCCCTTGTGCACGGCCCCGTCAGCGTGCTGTCGAGAACCGGGATGTAGTCAAAACACTCCGACAGCTGAAGGATGTCTAGGTTTGTAGCTACATGCTGACGCCGAGAACTCTACATGCCAACCCGAAACTGCCTTGATGCCAGCGATTACGGTGCAATAGAAAACGAACGACTCCAGACCCCACAAATATCCGTATAATCCTCCACACAAAAATCACATTCGCAAATACACTGCTAGCCTCTGTTGTCCTCACCTGCTTGTATACTAACGCGCAGGCACTTCTCAGTAGGTTACTCCAATTTTGTAATGCTCACGCTGTCACACTTTGGATATCTTCATTATAACTGAAACATGGCTGAATACTGAGATCACTGATGCTGAGATATCCCTGCCAGCTATGGCTCTCCTACGGAACGATCGACCCAGCAGAGAAGGCGGATTGATCTTGTATTATCGATCTGACCTGCATCGGCGCTCCAGATACGCAAGTTGTCGATTCTCTCTGGCGCCACCTGTAATTAAACGTGGTGAAGTGTGTTTACTAGCAATCATACACCCACCCTCCAAGGTCCACGCTGAAAATGGATTACCACCTGTCGTCTACTACGAAGCGAATCCTAGGACGGTCATGCAGTCACATCTTTTCGATGGGGACTTCAATCTGCACACAATCGAAATCCCGGCTTCGCTGTGCAATCCATCCAAAGCGGACTTGTAAGAAGTAATCGCCAATATACCGCTATACAACCACGTCAACGCTACCACGAGATTCAGAACTGGCGACGAACTCTCGGCCTTAGATCTTGTGTTTGCCAACAAGTAACCTAAATACACCGCTTAGCCGTAGCGACCACGCGATGCTTCTCTTCCGCTACATCTGCTAAGCGGAATACAACTGCGAAAACAGCGAGGAACTTCGCCTTGTCCCGCATTACGTTGCACTCGCTGACATCGTTCAAGCAACTAACTGGTATTTTCTAGCTGAGCAGCCTCCCGGCTTCACCTGGAAGGAATTTGTCACCCAGTTGAGCGGGCTGGTGGCAACCACATCTGAAACTAAATTATTTCGCCCGAAAATTCGGTGATTCGGTCTGACGCGCTCATAAAGCCTGTCCGGATGCGCCTGCCTGGTGTTGTGTATTCGGTCAGCATGTTTGACGGCTGTACGCACGGACGTCGCGAATTTTTGGATCAGCTTGTGCTGGATACTACTTTTGCCTCAGATTACTGTGTTATCAACGTTTTAGCTGTGTGAATTGTGCACCAATATTCTTTCTTTGGCGTATTTTCCAAGCGGTGCAAATTTGGCGGCTATTCTTTGGCTACTTCTGGAGACCTCATTGATTCGCTCTACTGCCACCTCTGTCCGCTACCTTGGATTTGCTCTATCTTGTGATGCCATCTCAAGCTACTTATGGTTTGTGTTCGAAAGTTGTAATAAATGAGGCTCATGCGGTTCGGTGCTTCGGCTGTGATGTTTTGTTTCATATTTTGTACATTGGCTTAGTTGTTGACGTGTTTCAAAAATCGCTTGACATCCGACATCGTTCTTTTTCAAGTTATATGTGATAAATGTAGCGGTACAAGACATCAGAATACGCAGCGAACGCAAACAACTACGGGAAAATCGCCCTTTCAGATAGAAACAAACCGTTCATCACTTGGGATCAAACGCCCTCGTGAAAGTACCTCTGTCACCTTGCCTTCCTCTGGCACACCGCGATCTGCACCAACACCAGCGTCTTCGACTCCGGCCGAGCCCCAGGTTCAATGTTCCCCACCGATGAAAGACTCAGACTCGGAAGCCACGAAATGCTGCTTCACGGATCGGTCCGTTAAATTCTCAAAGGCTGTCTGTGAACTTCTGAACACCGGGGATCCATAGACCACTTTAAAGCGCAAAGGCCCACGTAATCGCGTTCAGACGTCAACTGCTGATAAACAACAACGCAATCAGTTAAGCGCCTCTAGTTCTGCTCCAACAGGTTCATCACTGCTTTCGTTGATTGCGTCATAATCTCATGGTCTTCCACTTACCGGAGTCAAAAGAAGAAAACCGTCAGATACGTTATGATCACGATGTTGAGTTTCTCCAGGGGCTCATCGATAGACTCTTGGATGTGGGCGAAGACAGTGTGAAAAGTAAACAAGTAGTCCGACTTGGCCAGCAAATAACCAGTCATGTCAACCTCTGAGAATCACCTTTGCAAATCCCATATGTCGAAGCTCATATTGTCTCGTCTGTCAAGACTGAAAAGGCATAAAAGTTCACATCCGCCGAGACTTGGGACCCGAAGACAGGGATCATTTGAAGACTGCGGCCACTGAGTTCAAATGCCGTACAGAGGAAGGTGAAACAGACTTACAAATTGTAAATTTTCGGGTGATCAAGTAGGGTGTACGAACCCGTATCAACCGGTTGGTCAACCTCCAGGCAGGTCTCGCAGTACCTCCCAGGATCTCCGTGTGGCATTCGCCAACGTGTGCAGCCTAATGAACAAAGGTGAAGAAATGCGCCGCTTCGTTGTTTCGGAGCGGCCGGACGTTTTAGGACTTACAAAGACTTGGCTGAACTCCGATATCACACCCCAAGAAGTCGTGTTGTCAGGAGACTCTTTTTTCCGATGCGACCGAAAATCAAAGGCTCACGGTGCTGTTCTGTTGTACATAAAATCGCCACTGTCTGGCAAACTTACCAGCACCTATCGGAGCGAGGATAGTTTATGCGAGCAATTGTGGTGCACAATCCGCCTCAGGCGCGCAGAACTAATAGTGGGGGTTATCTACCGGAGCCCATTAAACCGTTGTTGCGATTGGCTACCACATATACAGAAGCACATGAGCCGTCCTCAGTTCTTACTGATGGGGGATCTAAATTTACCTAAGATATTCTGGCCAGACGTTCGGCTTCTTCCCGGTCATGGTGACGTTGATGGTCAATTCGCTAAAATGACTGTTGAAATCGGGGCAACGCAACATATCATCCAACCGACGTGCATAACACCGTACTCTGCATCTTGTCTGGATCTAATGTTTACTAGCTGCGAGCAGAAGCTGAACGAGATCAGGGTCATCGAACCTCTGGCGAACAGTGACCACTGCTCCATTGTGGCAAGCTTAGAATTGTCGTTACCATATTACAATTAACGGAAGCCGGCATTCAACTATTGGAAGACGGACTTCAACGGGCTCGTCCAAGCTGCAAGTCAGACTGATTGGACACTACCACAGGATGCGTCACTTGAGGCCTGTTGGTCATTAATGAAGGGGAAGCTTAACTCGCTCTGTACTCGATTCGTTCCCCTTAAATATTCAAAAACCGGACCTGTCAAACCGCATTGGTTTGATACGGAATATAAACAGTTAGCGAGACGGCGTCGCAAACTTTGGGATAGATATAGCAGCTCGGGTTGTGATGAAGATTACAGGATGTACAAGAATTAGCGTAAATTATGCAACGCCTCAAAGATCAAGAAACGTCGGCGGTTCGAAGAGGCGCTAGCATCCTCGACCACAACTGCACCCAAAAGAATATTTGCCTACTTGAAACGTCAACTGAAATCTGAGGACGACTTACCGGTCTTAGAGTGCTTAGACGGAAAGACGCTCATTTCAAGCGCGGAGCGCGCGGACGCCTTGGCTACGCACTTCCTCATTTTAATTTCCAGTAAACCGGCGGTGGTTGCAGTACCGGCACAGGTTGCGCCAGTCTTGCTCAACAGCCTACCACGTGAGACACTTGAAGTGTGCCAGCTACTCGTCAACCTCGATGGTGCAAAGCCCCCCGGACCAGACGGACTTCACCCATTAATACTCAAGTCCCTATAGATTATCATCGCACCAGCCGTGACAAACGTATTCAATACATTGCTCTGAAGGAGTTGGCCCTAACGACTGGAAATGCTCGATAGTGAGACCGCTTCCCAAGGGTGGTGATCCGAGTAAACTAGCGAACTATAGACCGATCTGTTTGACTTCGGTATTATCCAAAGTTCTCGAGAATGTTGTGAAAAAGTGTCTGCTATCGTTCTTCGAATCGATGGACGTATTGACGCCAGAGCAACACGGTTTTACGAAAGGGCGATCCTGCATCACCAACTTGATGTACCCAAACCACCATTGGGTACGAGCTGTCAACGAACGAAAGGATGTTGACGTCATGTACATCGACTTTAGTAAGGCGTTTGACAGAGTGAACCACGAGGTACTCCTTCGTAAACTGTGGACATACGGAATCGGTGTCACGTTACTTCAGTGGTTACACAAGTTTATTGTGCGATGAAAGTTTAGAGTGCAGGTCAATGAGTACCTGACAGACTGGTTCCCGTCGAATATTGGCGTGCCTCAAGGAACTGTACTTGGGCCAGTATAATTTCTTATTCACATCAACAATCTTCCGAAGCAGCTTCAGTCACCATGTGCTCTGTTTGCAAATGGTTGGAAATCTGGATGATCATTGAGAACCAGGACGACTGCGCTCGCCTCCAGCATGACTTAGAGCGACTGTCAACATGATCCACTGAAATGCAACTACCTCTTAACGCAAGCAAGTTGGAGTTCCTCAATATCACCAGACGTCCAGCCACTCGATCACACACCTTGGATGGCCAGTTGCTCCACCCCAATACATCTGTCAGAGGCTTAGGAGTTCTCTCACGACATGATATGAGATCACTAGAAAACACAGAGAAATTGTACCGTGCG